GATTATTTCAACATTCTTTTAAAGAGAAAATCTGGGGAAAATAGATATAATATTGGATTTATGTGACGATATGAAAATATCACGGTTATCAGACACTAAATCAGCCAGCAAGGCTGGGGCAAAGCTGCGCTCCCCTGAACACATGTTCCCAATGAGTCACCTTTGTGCTCCAGTGGCTTCATCATGTCTAGAGACAGAAACCGAGGATGCTAAGGCTTCTTCCAGACACACTGATCGTAATCGCTCGCATCCTCTCTGATTACACACAATAGTAAGGAGAACAGAATCAATTCCCAGTGAACATGTGCTAATGAGACAACACATTGGGGCATCAGGCTGCTGTTTCCAACGGAGACTGATAGTTCTATGCTTATGACATGCAAGTGTCAAGAATTTCAAAACACTGAAATGCTCCGGTGTCTGAATCCACGCAACCTCCAGGACGTTTTCTGAGACAATACGGGTGTGGCAAATGTAGGTTTACATTTGTGAGTACATAAAACAGAGTGTATTCTTGTGTTATTACTTATTTTATTTACTTATTTATTTTTTTAATCCTCACCCGAGGACATTTTTCCATTTTTTGTTCAGATAGAGTGGGAGGGAGAGACAGGAAGACAGAGAGAGAGAGACATCGATGTGAAAGGGACACATCGAGTGGCTACCACCCGCACGACCCCAAACAGGGCCGGGGACAAACTGCAACCGAGGTACGTGCCTTTAGCGGGAACAGAACCCGGGTCTCTCTGGACCGCAGGCCGATGCTCTAACCGCTGGGCCAAACTGGCTAGGGCGTGTTATTACTTATTAATCATTGTATTATCACTGTAAACCTCCTTTTGCCCATCCCTGTATTTCTGACTGGTTAAAGGTGGTCAGCCAGACAGTTAGCGGCAAACACTGGCTAGATGTTACTCTGCAGAGAGACGGGCAATGACAGCAGAGACTCAGCATGTCCCCAGTCTGAGGAAGCTTACCTTGCTGAGAGCTGGCATTTGCGGAGGCCTTCCCCTGCGCAAGACACCGTACCCAGCGCTGTATGTGCATTAGCTATTGAATCCCTGCAACTACCCTGTGAGACGGTACTAGGATTGTCCCCATTTGATAGATGAGGAAACTAAAGTGCTGGGAGGTTAAGTAACTTGTCTAAGGACGGACAAACAGTTGCTACGTCACAGACAGGATTCAGCCTCAGACTCAGTGATTCTGGAGCCGGTGACCTTAATGCTCACACCACCCTGCCTTTCCACAGCCTAGCAAGGCCGCTCACTCACAAAGAGTACAAAAACACGCATCGCACTTACAGAGTAGAGAAATCCCCCATATTCACAGAGATCACATCTCTCTGGCTTTGAGGCTTTACGAGGCCCAAGATGCACTAGGACACATGCCACTTACTGATGCATGACACCAGCACAGCCACGAACCCAGTGTGAGGACAAGTCATGAAGCTGGGGGAGAGCCGGACCTCTACCAAGTCGACTAACTTGATGGAAGAGCAGGAGTTACAGAAATGGCTTGAATTATATAACCTTCTTTCTTAAAAATGTAGTTTGAGTTCTTTCAAACATATAAAGTAACTGACACAGGTTCACTAATTGTTGCTAGGTAGAGGCCAAGAAAGAATTTATTTCAAACTTTGGTCAAGATGGTGGCGTAGGTAAACGCGGTATCACATCCTCCCACAACCACATCAAAGTTACAACTAAACTACAGAACAGCCATCATTCAAAACGCCTGAAATCAAGCTGAATGGAAGTCCTACAACTACGAAATTAAAGAAGCTGCCACATTGATACTGGTAGGAGCGGGGGAGGCGGACAGGCTGGTCTCACACCCACGTGTGGTGGATAAAAATCAGGAGGACACCTCGGCTGGGAAGGTCCTCCCTGGGGACTGAGGGATCCCCATCCCACTCCAGGCGCCCAGCTCAGGGTTCCAGTGCCAGGAAGAGAAGTCCCCATCACTTCTGGCTGGAAAAACCAACGGGAACTGAGGCTCAGGGGGGCTGAGGCTGCGGGAGCCCCCAGGCAGCTCCTTAAAGGACCCGTGCACGGACTTATCAGACTTGCACCCTCCAGGCTCCCACGTCGGGGAGGCAGCTTGAAAGGCACCAGAGTCATATGGAGAAGAACTGAGTTGTTTGAACTGAACTGTTGGAGCAAGGGCTGGAGAGGCGGCTTTCTGTCAGAGGCCTTTGTTCCTTTGGTGAGCCCTTCCCTGGGGCGGCAGACAGCCACCATATCTGGGACTCCAGCAACCTGGCTCACACTGGTAGCCCCGCCTTGGTGATTCCCTGAGGCCCTGCCCCACCCAACTTTCAGGCCCACCCAAGCTGTTGCCAGTTGCTTTACCATAGGATTGGCCTGTCTTGGATCCTGCTTCAGGTTTTCCTAAATTCTTTCAAACGAGCAGCATCTGGTCTCAGCGAGCCCCATACCTCTCGTTAAGTAATACACAGAAACAAACACAGGGAGGCAGCCAAAATGAGGAGACAAAGAAACAGGTCCCAAATGAAAGAACAGAACAAAACTCCAGAAAATGAACTAAGCGAAATGGAGATAAGCAACTTAACAGACGCTGAGTTCAAAACAGTGCTTGTAAGGATGCTCAATGGACTTAGTGAGAACCTCAGTGAACTTAGTGAAAGAGCATAAAAAAGGACCAGTCATAAATGAAGGAGGCACTAACTGAAATAAAGAATAATTTATACAGATTCAATAGTAGAGTAGGTAAAGCTAAGAAGCAAACCATCGCGTTGGAATATAAGGAAGCAAAAAACACCCAATCAGAACAGCAAAAAGAAAAAAAGAATCCAAGAAAATGAGGATAGTGTAAGGAGCCTCTGGGACAACTTCAAGCGTACCAACATTTGCATCTTGGGGGTGCCAGAAGGAGAAGAGACAGAACAAGAAATCGAAAACCTCTTTGAAACAATAATGGCAGCTCTGGCCGGTTTGGCTCAGTGGTTAGAGCGTCCGCCTGCGGTCCGGAGAGACCCGGGTTCGGTTCCCGCTAAGGGCACGTACCTCGGTTGCAGTTTGTCCCCGGCCCTGGTTGGTCGTGCGGGTGGCAGCCACTCGATGTGTCCCTTTCACATCAATGTTTCCCTCTCTCTCTCTTCTTCTCTCTCCCTCCCACTCTGTTTGTACAAAAAATGGAAAAATGTCCTCGGTGAGGACAAAAAAAAAAGAAACAATAATGGCAGAAAACTTTCCTAACTTGGTGAAGGAAACAGACATACAAGTCCAGGAAGCACAGAGAGTCTCAAACAAGATGTACCCCAAGAGGCACACACCAAGACACATCATCATCAAAATGCAAAAGGTTCAAGACAAAGAGAGAATCTTAAAAGCAGCAAAAGAAAAGCAGTTAGTTACCTACAAGGGAGTCCCATAAGACTGTCAGCTGATTTCTCAAAAGAAACTTTGCAGGCCAGAAGGGAGTGGCAATAAATATTCAGAGTGATGAAACGCAAGAACCTACAACCAAGATTACTCTGTTCTGCAAAGCTGTCGATGGCCAGATAAAGAGCTTCCCAGACAAGGAAAAGCTAAAGGAGTTCATCATCATCAAACTATTATTATATGAAATGTTGAAGGGTCTTCTTGAAGAAAAAGATAAGAAATATGAACAAACAAAATGGCATTGAATATACATATCTATTGACAATTGAATCTACAAACAAAATGAACAAGCAGAACAGAAACATTCTCATAGATACAGAGAACATTTTGTTGGTTTCCAGATGGGAAGGTGGTTGGGGGAAGAGGCGAAAAAGGTGAAGGAATTAAGAAGTACAAATTGGCTGTTAGACTGAAAAACCTCAAACGGAAGGGGGGTGGAAGGTGGGAAGAAATAAACCAAAGAACTTATATGTATATATGCATAACCAATGGACACAGACAACAGTTTGGGGAAAGGCAGGAGGGGGGCGGGAGTGTGGAGGAGGGGGTCAATGGGGGAAAAAGTGAGGAACATCTGTAATACATTCAACAATAAAGATAAGTTTAAAGAAATCAAAATAAAAATTTTAAAAAAGGATTTATTTCAATGAATGTATGAAAATAGTTTATGATCAGTATATGAATAGTCTGCATCTAAGTAGATGTTTTTAGAGAATTAGGGGCTAAATATTATTGTTTCTTTTAAAAAACTACCCTCTGAACTTAAACTACTCTGTGAACTCAAACGGCTCATATTTCGGGTAGTCTCAATAGGTGGTAGCTGAAAAGAGGTGACTTCGCTGTGGCAGTAACTCAATTCATGTGCTGAGCTGACACAGTCTATGAAGAGAAGTCTTTTTTTTTTTGTACATCCCCCAGCGGGAACTGAACCCAGGCCTCTCTGGTCCGCAGGCCGAAGCTCCAACCGCTGAGCCAAACTGGCCAGGGCTGAAGAGATGTCTTAAGGCACAGGATCCAAGTGAATGGAGTGGAGCTAACTAAGGAAGACTTCTTGGGGGAGGTGAACAGAGTTTCTCGGCACCAAAACAAGAAGCCTTTCTTTGCTATTCTCAGTGGTCTCTGCCATGGAATCCAGAGCCTCTGCTGCTGCCTCTGCCTGGACTCTTCTCCTAGTCCCTCTCGAGCCCCAGCTCTCAGAGGAGCCCTCTCTGACCATCAAATGCAAAGCCATTTCTCCCTCACGCCCATAACCTAGTTTTATACCCTTTAGCATACCTATCTTCTAATTTCTTTGTTAAGTTGTATATTATCTGTATTTTCTTACTAGAATATAAGTATCATAAAGGTGAGATCTCTTCTGTCTTGTTCACTGTGGTGTATGTATACCCTGTACCTAGGAAATGCCTGGGTACTTAGTAGATGCTCAACAAAAAATTTTTACATAAATGGATAACCGGATTAAACCATCAGGTCACCATACTGATCCAAACGGGAAAACAGCAATTTTATTCCTCCAGAGCAGATCTATACTAGAAAGATACGCGTTTGATCTACGACCAAAGCCATAGAGACCCTATACCGATTTCATCTCACCTGTTCTGCTCCCACCATGCTAATTGGCTTGCACTTGAAGAGGTGGGTGATGAACTTGGGAATGAAGGAGCTGTGGATAAAAACAAAACGACAAATTAAGCTTTTTCAGTCTTCTGTCTGTTAAGAACTGTAGAAAAAAAATTTTAAGGCCCTGCTTCTTTCCAGCAGGAAACTAAGAAACAAAGTAGACACTTCTGTGGCCTCCCAGCATCCATTGCCTTTTTTCCATTGCCAAAGCCCTGGTTTTATTTAGGTACACGTGGCCTTGGGATGCCAGGGAAAAGTTGATCCCGCCTGAACTACAGAGCGGAAGTCTAAGTAGCCTCAGCCAGTCAGAGTGTGGCATTCCCTTGGTAACGGTTGTTGGTTCTGAGATGGGAACATGATCTAAGCTGGCCCAATCAGATTGGAGGGAAGGATTTTATTGCATGGTTGTGGCCAGACTATCTCTTCTTCTTTAGGTATTCTTGTATTTGGTTATAAAAGCAGCCGTCTCTCCACCATTCTGAGGATGAAGCCAGCCCTAAGGCAGTGAGTAGGATAAAGAACTTGGGTCCTTAATGACATGGCTGAATCCCTGAATCAACCATCCTTGCATTTGCCCCTACTCTGGGCTTCCAGTTAGATGAAATAAAAAGCTCACCTTCTGTATAAGTCATTTTGAATCAGGGCTTCTATCACTGGTAGCTAAAATCACCTTAACAGGTATGAGAGTGAAACATACATGAGGTCGTTATGGGACCTTAAAGGCAAAAATGGGAAATAATTGTTAAGGGAGTAACTGTCAGATCAAGAATGAAATATCTGATCTTCCCCAATTTACTGGGGACTGCAGGGCAACTTGGGTTCCACTTATGCATTCACTGGTTGAACCGATGATGATGCTTGTTTGGGGAAAGGGACAATGACATTTTAATAAGTCAGGGGCGTTTTAGAAAAAACTGCAGAGGATTGAATAGGGAAAGCTGGGTTGTCCTGGTGCAGAAGAGAAAGTATGGGAACTAGAAATGCCTACAATCAAGGCCAGGTCCAGAGTGACAGACCTGAAGTGTCTTAAGGGCCCATGACCAGAGGAGGCACAGTGGCAATAAAGCAGGATCTGTAGGCCGGCAGACTGGATCGCATCCACCCAGTCACTGAAGTCAGAAACTGAGTTATCCTAGACAGCTCCCTCCCCCTCAACCCCTATATCCAATCAGCTACCAGCTCTTCCCCTGAACCCCCACATCCACCCCGCGACCATTCCCACTGCTACTGCCCTTTCTCACTTGAGCTCTTTCCACTGTTTCCTAACTAGTCTCCCAGCCTTCAGCCTCATCCTTTCGAGTCCATCTGCCACCAAAGGGATTTATTTCAAATGCAAATATGATCAAGACCTTCCCCTGATTAAAACTCTTATAAGGCTGCAGACAAGGCCTTCCTCGGTTGTCTTTTTAAAAAAATTTTAATTGATTTTTTAGAGGAAGAGAGAGAGAGAGAGAGAAACACTGATTTGTTGTTCCACTTATGAATTGACTGGTTGCTTTTTGTATGTGCCTTGACCGAGGATTGAATCCTGAAACCTTGGTGTATCAGAATGATGCTCTAACCAACTGAGCTACCCCCAGACGGGGCTTGTCTTGATTCTGTCCCAGCCTCATCATGCTAAGTAAGCCCTGGCACCCTATGCTTCAACCAGGTGAGCTACTCGCAGATCCCACAGTTCTGCAGGCTACTGTATGCCTCTGTGCCTTTGTGTACACGGCTCCCTGTCTGGAATGCTCTTCCCCGCGGCCTTGTGGGTCAGTCAAGGACATCTCACCTATAAAGCCTTTGTAGTCACCATATTCTTTCTACCATATTCTACATAGAGTCCACAGACCCCTAGTCTAACATCTAACCTACTTTATCACACTTATTTGCTTACATGTCTGTTACCCTCCACTTTACCGTAAGGCAAATGAGAATTAGGATGATGGTTATTAAGTCAAAGCATTTAATTCTGTGTCTGAGACACAGCAGGTACTCAAGTTAATGCCTGTTGAATAAATAATAAATAGTAATAAAAATGACAGCAGCTACCACTTTTTTTTTAAAATCCTCACTCAAAGATATTTTTCTATTTATCTTCAGATAGAGTGGGAGAGAGGGAGAGAAAGGAAGAGAGAGAGACACACACACACCGACTGGTTGCCTCCTGCATGACCCCAACCAGGGCTAGGGACAAATCGCAACCTAGGTACATGCCCTTGGCTGGAATGGAATCCGCGACTCATTGGTCCATGGGCTGACGCTCTACAGCTGAGCCAAACCAGCCAGGGTGCAGCTACCACTTTTTGAAGTCCTAATAACGTGGTGGGTAACTGTTAAGCTCTTCTCCATCCCCTTGGGATGGTGGTGGCTATTGCTCTTGGCTGGGGAAACTCCCATCTCTGAGGTTTCTAGTCTTCCACTGGGATTCTAGAAGGATGAGAGAGATGGGCATCCTGTTCCCAGCTCACCCAATATGGGCTTCATAATAAAATGAAAAGGCTTGCCCAGCTCGTATGGCTCAGTGGTTGAGGGTCGACCGTTGCACCAAGAGGTCACTGGTTTGATTGCTGATCAGGGCAGATGCCCAGGTTGTGGGCCCGATCCCCAGTGAGGGGCATGCAGGAGGCAGCCAATCAATGTTCTCTCTTATCGATGTTTCTCTCTCTCTCTCCCCCTTCTTCTCTCTCTAAAATCAGTGAAGAAAAACATAAATAAATAAAATAAAATGAAAGGACTCTGAGAGAAGTGAGGCTGGTGCTGGGACTAGCCAAGTAAAGTCACGCTAATGTGTGACCACACTGGAGATTTTTGGCCACAGTAAACTTTTACAGAGATACTGTTTCTACCAGTTCTATGGGGAGTGTCACCATGTGATTTATCAGCAATGCTTTCAACACACACTAATGAGCACACTGAGAGCGAAGGGAATGTCAATCCTGGTTCATCTGCCATACTGCAGACATTAACGCCTCCCTGGAGAGGCCACTCGATCTCTTCTTGACAAAGTGGAAACCGAAGCTGACGCCACAAGCCACTCCATAATTGTGGTTCCTCAGGGATTTATTTGTGAGGCAGAAGAAAAGCCTTAATTGAATACAAACAGGGAGATATTTGGGGAGGACAGAAAGTTGGAGTTCTAAATTACCCTTCGGGACTTGGAGGAGAACAACCCAAATACAGTAGCTGGGACTGGGCTGACCTTCCTGAAGCCCTTTGCCGAGGTGTTTGCCAAAGTGCTTGCTTGATAACTGGTCAGAGGAGGCACTGACCCTCTACACTGTCTGGTGGGGGGGGGGGGGGGGGGGGGGGAGGGGGAAGCAGTGCTGCAGCCAGACACTGACTGGCTGGCAAAGGGCCCAACTATTTCCCTGCTTCAACACATCAAGCCAGGAAGAGCCACACAAAAGGATGTGGCAGGAAGACACGCAGCTCAGTGCTCACTCCCTCCACCCTGGCAACGGAGCCCCCTGACTCGCCCTTCCTGACTTCTAGTACCTTTTCTGGACTCAAGGACATCCCAGGGGATCAATTCTGGCAGCCACAGCTACAGCTACTATGGGGAAGGAGGAAGAGAAGGCTCAAAGAAACAGAACTGACGGTTCCTACCCTTCAAAAGCTCATAATCTCACTGGTGAGACAAAATGTATATATGAAATCACTGAAACAGAATTTTAATTATTCAAAAGGGGGGGAGCAGGGACACAGCTCTGTCCACATGATTCAAAATATCAGGATCCCCTCCTCACGTTTCTGTTTGTCTTGACGTGGTTGATGATTACGTTGCTGTTACTGCTACCGATGACTTAGGTGGATTTAGTTTTATTATTAGGCTTCTTCTGGGTACAAAACAGTTAGTTTGCCCGCCGACGAGAATGAGCCCTCACTGGCTGGTGGAGACCCCTGGACGGTGGGCGTGCCACTGGTAGGTGTGGCCTCAAAGTAACCCAGTGAAAGACTGTTCCAGGACTTACTTTGCAAATTTAATGCAGAACTGAGTGAAGTATTTCCGTGTCGAAGCCAGGTTGTCACGGATGATGGGGACGTTCTGCTTAATGTGAAGAATGACAGAGGTGACATAGGGGCTCTGGTCACCAACGTGCTCCACATTCTGCCACTGCATCTGCAAATGGAGACAGGACAGGACACGCCTTTAGAAGCCCCACAGGAGGACAGCCTTACCTGTTACCAGGGAAGGGGCAAGGGGAGTGGAAAGTAGGCCACAGCTTGCTACCACAGTTGCCATTTTGTTTCGGAGAATGTGTCTTACCCGGTTGGCAGTGGCTGACTGTGAATCAAAACAAGTGCGCTCACCTCATCTTTGACAGTGAGGCATGACTCAGGCATCTTTTCCTTCCCTGCCCCCCTCATGCTTGAAACAGCCCTCCCTTCCCTTCCACGTGGCCGTCTTCTACAGACACCTCACGGGGAGCCTGTTCTTCTGTCCGCTGGTGCGCCAGACAGGGACTGTGGGAGAGCAGAACGGCAGCCTGCGCGACCAGACAGGTAGCGGGGCTACAATAAATGAAACCTGGACGAGAGCTAACGTGTGCCTTTATTTCACGTAAATTGAGGAGGTTTTATTTTATTTTATTTTTTAGAGAGAGAAAGAAACACCAATGTGAGAGAGAAACACTGATCAGTTGCCTCCCATACGTGCCTCGACCGGAGATTGAACCTGCAACCTTTCAGTACACAGGACAATGCTCCAACCAACTGAACCACCGGACAGGGAGGGAGGAGCTTTTTAAAAAAGGAAACTGGAAATAATATGTGGTGTGAGACCTGCTTCCAAATAATCTGGGGTTGAAGGGAATGAATACAACAAGGTTAGTGAAGCTTGGTGATGGGCACATGAGGTTCATTATGTTTGCCCTACTTTTGTACATTATTGAAATTTTCCATAATAAAACATTAGATTCTCACTTATAAAACCTTTGGGATTATGTTGGGATTTCAATCAAGGGAAAGGAGAGAGGCTCTCTGGCAAACCCGAGGGGCAGATCAGAGGGTAAGGCAGCAACAGGGGAACAGGGCAAGGATGAGGCACAGGGACTGTGTGGATGGCGGCGGTGGAAGAGATGAGCATCACCGAGAGAGCACTGAGGTGGTCCTTGACCAGGCCTCGGACAGACATGGAGAAGAAGGGGTGCTGTAGCGCCTCTTCCCCCTCGGGTAGGTACAGGAGAAGAGGGCAGCAGCAGCCCAGCTCTCGGCCTTCCTGGAAGCTGGGCAGGGTGGGCACTCGAATCCCGAAGAGAGTGGGAATGTGCTGGAGGAACTCTGCTGAGTCAGCCTCACAGAATGGAGCTGGGCTGTCTGCGAAAAAGATCCAAAGCCAAACACAAACCATATAATATGTTCATAGAAGGAGGGCAGTAGTTCTGAGGCCTTGATGTCTCTGGCAAGAGAACACTATTTTTATAGAGCTCTTGGGGAGAGAAAAAATTCAATACTGAGAGAACTTGTTTAAAGGAATCATATTGTACATGGACGATTCCCCAGCTCCTGGGAAGCTCAAGTGACTTTATGCCTTGTCCTAATGTTTCTTTAAATCAGCAGATGTTTATATTCTAAAAGCTTCAGGTATGTATAAGCACAGAACCCTAAAAAAGCAGGAAGGAACCTCCACCTTCATTTCACAGATAAGAAAACCAAGGCCCAGAGACTTTAAGTCTTGTGTGCAGTGTCACAACGAGGCTCCAGACATAAAAGGTCTCTACTTTTTTTTACTGGGGAAAAACAGAAACAAACACTGGAGAAAGAGTGGAGAGGTCTGGTATGAACTGACTTTATATTCTAATGCTTTGGTTATGTGTAATATTTTCCTCATTCTCTTTCATCTCATTCAAGAGACTTCCTTTTCTGTCTTATGCTAGAGATTCGACCCATCCATGCAGGGAGTATCCTGGGTGACTTCCGATGAGCTCGCGGGGTGAGGCCAGAACGGGCAGGCGCTGTCAGCGTCTCCGCTCCGTCTTGCTTTCCCCAGCTCCGCAGCAACACCTGGAGCAGAAGCTCCGGGTAAACACTAAGCCGGGGAAGGAGACTGACCCCAACCCTCTAATCAACACAAAGTGCTTCCAGAGTAATGACTACTGTTTTCCAAGCTGGCCGAATTTTATATTTCAACATCTCAGAAAGTGAATAAACAATTGTCTAAACATGCCAGCCCTCCATTAATAGAAGACCACAAAGGGAGGTGGCAACATGCCCTGTCATTGGTTAAAGGCAATTCTGAAGTAAGACAGGGCAGGGGATGTGGGCTGTGGGACTTCAAGTTCCTGCTGGTGAGCTAGAGCTAACTTCTTTTTAAAAAATTAAAAAAAAAAAAATTCTCACCCGAGGATATTTTTCTATTTATCTTCAGATCGACTGGGAGGGAAAGAAAGAGAAAAAGGGAGAGAGAAACACTGATGTGACAGGAACCCATCGACTTGTTGCCTCCCGCTCGACCCCGACCAGGGCTGGGAATGAACCGCAACCGAGGCCCGTGCCCTTGTCTACAATTGAACCCGTGACTCATTGGTCTGCGGGCCAACACTCTAACTGCTGAGTCAAACCGGCCAGGGCTAAAAAAATTTTTTTTTAAGTATGTTTTTATTGAATTTAGAGGGGGAGAGAGAGAGAGAGAAACATTGATGTGAGAAAGAAACATCAACCCGTTGCCTCCCATATGCACCCTGACCAGGGATCAAACCAGAAACCTGGGTAGGTGCTTTGACTGGGAATCGAACCCTGCCCTGACCAGGGCTAGAATCTGCGACCTTTCAGTGCATGGGACACACTCAGTCAACTGAACCATACAGGCTAGGGTGACCTAATGTCTGTTGATTACCAATGGCCAGGTCAGTGCCCGCATTTAGAACATATGTGAAGAGATCTAATTTGCTTTAATACTTTAGCCAATTATGATGCTCACCACTGGTCAAGTTAACAGAAGTATTAAGCAAAAGTCAAGCAGATTCATGATTTTAAGTTTAAGTCAGCTTAATGAAGTACTGAAACAACTTAAAGTACTGGAGAACAAAGAAAGTTAACATCACATTTACTATTTTTTAAAAAAAATCCTCACCCGAGGATATTTTTCCATTTATCTTCAAATAGAGAAGGAGGGGGAGAAGAGAGAGAGAGAGAGAGAGAGAGAGACAGAGACAGAGACACACATTGATGTGAGAGAGACACATCGACTGGTTGCTTCCCGCATAACCCTGACCAGGGCCGGGGATGAACCGCAACCGAGAAATGTGCCCTTGACTGGAATTGAACCCGTGACCCTTTGGTCTACAGGCCAATGCTCTAACCACTAAGGAAAACCAGCCAGGACTCCTATTTTATTTTTAAATTGCAAGACATAGTTAACAGTGATTCTGTCTAGTCACTGCCTCAGATAGCTAATGCTTGCCATCATCCATCCTGGAAGACTTAGGTTTTGGGTTGTAACTTGAATGTCCCAAGACACCTGCATTAGGACCTACTATGTGCAGGTCACTTTGCCTGGCACTTTGCACACATCGCCTCAGTTACTATTCATACATGATCTCATATAGTTCTCCTTACGATTTTGCAAATGAAGAAACTCAAAAAGCTCAAAGAGGTGACTTGCCCAAAGTTACACAGCTGGTAAATGGTAGAGACAACCTAGATCTGTCTAAAGCCCAAGTACCACACCAGGCTGCTTCCTAGACACTGCCTAAAAAACAGTTACAAAAAAAAGAATGAAAGCATTTACTTCAAGGCAAGCGGTTTCTGAAGGAGAAACGGATGAAATATACAGTGGTCAAGCACAGCACTCTTTCAAAACCAGAAAGAAGAACAGCTTGCATTGGAAGAACAATCACCATGAAAAGCCATCTGTAGAAATAAGACTCCAAGTTTTCCAGGTAAATGTGGCATCTGACATTTAAAATTTACCCCTCCTTACTTAAAGCGTCTCCTTTGGTGCTTTTTTGTTCAGGGGGTGGGGTGGAATACCACTGGTAGTATATAAACCACGAGGAAAACAGTTTGCAAAGAAGTAGTAACTGAGAGATAGGGTTGGTAGAAACACAAGCAAAGAGATGATCAAGGTAACAATGCTAGAGCCTCCAGGACACCGCCCATAGCCACAGGGAGAGACTGTGGGACCCAGGACATCTCCACTGCCCATGGTTTCTGCTGCCGGAGGAAGGATGTGTGGCTGATGTTGACACTTCACAGGGACGGTTGGGGAGATAATCACTTCCTATACAGAGCCCGCTCACTGTAGCAGAGAATTCTGACCAATCCACTCATTAGAAAACAAAGCTCCCCAGCTAGCTGACTATGAAACTTTATTTTCTGTATGGCTCTATGAAGCTTGGAAAGAAATCTGAGAAACAAATTTTCCTCAACTGAAAATTCAAATTCTCACCTATTCATTTTGATCATGGGACTAGAGATGTACAAAGCACAGACTGAGATATTTGGATTCTGCAAACATTTCAGGCAACTGGAATCTAGTGATATAGTTTAGAGTGCTGGGACACTGGCCCCGAGCAACTGCCTTTGCTCAGGCTCACACACACACACACACACACACACACACACGCACGCACTTTAGTGCTTGTCTGGGTCACTCTATGCATACAACAAGCATTTGCTATATTTACAGGTATCCTCTGCCTGTAGAGCAGTGGACCAAGCACGGTGTGGGAATAAAAAGGGAGAAGGAACCTTTTTCGAGTACCTACTATATACCAAGCATCATGATAGACATTTTCGCACAAACTTACTGCTTATAATAATGCAGAAAGGAAGTATTACTCCTGCTGCATAGATGATAAGACAGGCTGGAGGACAAAATATGACTTGCTTAATTAAGCATAACTGAAAAGTTAGCAGAACTGAGACCTAGAAATTGGTTTATCTAAGTCCAATGCTCATGTCCTTTCCATTTTACCATGTTGTTTTCCAACAGAAGTGTTACCACCCTAAATGAACTTGCTATGAGAAGGACCTGGAGCAAGCAAAATCTACGTGTAGCACGAGCTTGTACACGTGTAGATGATGTGAAAGTGGTGATGGTGGTGCAGAAGGTGAGGAAGAAAAGACTCTCACCAATGTGGTCAAGCTCCCAGGGGAAAACCAAGACCCAGCATAGGA